TCCCTCTGTTCCCTACACCTAAAAGCCCACCTTGTTTGTAGAGACGGGGGCCTCTCAGACTCTGATAAGGTGTCCTTCTCTTCTGGTCCCTGTAAACTGACCCCCCCATCCCCTTGCCCTCTTCTGTCATCCTGTGTAGACTTTCTGCAGCCCCAACCTCTCCTTTCCCATTCCCAACTTGCCCCAGTGGGTCCCAGTCCCAGTCCTGTCAGTTCATGACATTGTGGGTCAGTAGCTGATGCTGTTGGCTCCCCGTCCGTTGATGAGGAGGGGGCAAGGCTGGATTATTTTGCGGCCCTGTCTCTTTTTCTGCTGAATGTTGGAAGATTCAGGGCAGATAAAAGAAAGGGAATTTTTCACACAGTGCATAGTTAAACGATGGAACTCGCTTCCCCAGGACCAACAACTTGGAAGGCTTTCAAAGAGGACTGGATAAATTAATTTAGGAGAGGGCTATCATTATCTGCTAGGCATTGGTGGTAAGTCACTTTGGGTTTAGTTGTAAGTTGCTTTGAGTTGCCCAGGCAAAATAAAGCAAACAAGCAAACAAATAAAATGGTTCAGTTCTACCTTCACCGTTGGAGGCAGCACTGCTTCCGAACACCAGTGTCAGGAGTGCATGCAGGAGCCAGGCCCTGTGTCCAGTAGGACTTTGCAGGACTGGGGCCTTCCTAAGTTTGTTCTGAAGAGGCAAGGCACAGCTGCACAGGTGAGGCTGCTTGGTAACTCACTGCACCTGGTGGCAAGAGCTGGGAAGGGATATAAGGTCAGCATTTCCCTTCGGCTCCTTGCCACAGCAACACGCTTCCTGCTTTGGGCTTCTTGCTTCCTGACCCTCAGACCTTGGCTCCTTGACACCTTGCTTCTTGACTCTTGGACCCTTGACTTCACGACTCCCTGCTTCCTGACCCTCGGACCCCTAGCTTCTGGACTCTCATTCCTGCTCCCACCCCACCGTCTTGCCCCTGGTCCCAACGTCCTCAGCCAGGACTTAGATCACCCATAGACAGGACCGTGACAACCAGTTTCTGGAAAACACAGGAGGGGAGAAGGATCTTGTGCTCAAATCCTGCTCTCTGGCTTCCCATAGGCAACTGGTTGGCCACTGTGAGAACAGGATGCTGTAACAGATGGGTCAATGGCTTGATCCAACAGGCTCTTCTTAGGTTCTTATGACCGGCTGTCAACCTGGAACTGGCAAAGAGCTGAACAGAATCATATGCAGACTCAAAGGATGCCAGATTTCATACCAGCTTTCAGAGAGACTTGTTGCATTTAAGTGCACTGGCTGCTGGGTCACTCTGGCCCTCCCCAAGTATTTTTCTCAACAGAAGTAAACACTGGAGACCCGAATTCACTTGTTGGTGGATGGTGTCTAAAATGAATAATATATACACATATATTTTTTAGAAAGTGGTGAGCTGCAAAGGCTTGTTGGCATAGAAAAAAGGGCTCAAGAGATATGTGAAAGCAGAAAGTGAGGGTTGTCTAAGACAGCATTTTGTTGGAGGTGTAATAAGGATAATGCTTTTCATGTGTGGTTTTGTTGTTGTTTTTTACAGTGGTGTATAAAGGTAAAGGGACCCCTGACCATTAAGTCCAGTCGCAGACGACTCTGGGGTTGTGGCGCTCATCTCGCTTTACTGGCCAAGGGAGCCGGCGTTTGTCCGCAGACAGCTTCCGGGTGATGTGGCCAGCATGACTAAGCCGCTTCTGGCGAACCAGAGCAGTGCACGGAAATGCGGGTGGCGTTGTGGTTTGAACCACTGAGCCTGGGGCTTGCCAATCAGAATGTCAGCGGTTCGAATCCCCGCAACGGGGTGAGCTCCCGTTGTTCAGTCCCTGCTCCTGCCAACCTAGCAGTTCAAAAGCACGTCAAAGTGCAAGTAGATAAATAGGTACCACTCTGGTGGGAAGGTAAACAATGGCGTAAACTTACTAAGATTTGGGAGAAAGCAGTGGATTATGTAAAAAATGGTAATTTGGGGGCGGATAATATTCTTTTGAACTACATACCTATTATATGGAATTTGACAACAGGGTGATGTGAAAGGATTCTCTGCCCCCTTACTATGTTGGACTAGATGGGCCATTGGCCTCATCCAGCAGGACTCTATTTATGTTATTATGCTCTTTCAGAAATGGCAGTCACTCTTGTTTTATGCCACTGCAGCCATTTCATCACGGATACCCATGGCACTTCAAGATTCCAAAGGTGCCTGCCATCCGTTAAGCTCTGAGACCCCTGAACCAAATCTCCTCTGTTTGGTAGCATGGTTTGCTCAAGAGGCAGTTGGCTCTTCCTCTTTTCTTGTTTTGGTCACATGGGCAATCCCATCCAATCAGGAATCACACAGCAAACAGAAAGATGCCCCACAGCCAATTGGATGTGGCTGTGTGATGATGAGGCCATGGCTGGCAAGCGAGGGCAATCAGAACTGAGGGCAATTAAAACATATCAATTCAACATTTTTTTCCAAGCGGTGGTGGTGAGAGAACCTGGAGGTAGTTTTTCCGGCGATGCCAAAAAAGTTTGCGAGAAACAGTGAGTCATTTCAGCTTAGGCACAGGACCAGCTGAACACAGCGGGGCTTAGTTTTGAGTAAATGTGCACAGCGCTGAACTGCAACAGAGTGAGGAAATCAAACAGAAGGAGACGCCCAGAGACACAGAGGAATTAATGACTCTTTGAGAGAGGGTTATTTCAAATTATTTCCCCCCTCTCCCTATAGCAAAAGCACACAGCACATTATTGCCTTTGGTAACATCGCTTCTCAGCGTGGGTTGCTAAGCAACCTCCTTGCCTGGTCTCGCAGCTTCTCTCCTGGTCCTGTTTCCAAAACAGCCAACCCCAAAATAGACCCCACACGAGTGTGACAGCAGCAAGGGGCCTCAGGTGTCCAGCTCTGGAGTTGGGCTCTTGTGCCTTTAAAGAGCCCCCCAGCGCCTGGTCTCTTAAGGCAGACTTATCCTACCTTGTTTCAAGGAATGGGGCGCTCTTTGCTGGAATGTCAAAGAATGGAAACTGGAACATTGCCATAATGTCATGGGAAATGCAGCGCAGGGTTGCATAGGACTGATTCCATTATAGAATAAAGATGCGTGCAGAGTGTAATAGTCCTGAATATGTTAGGTAGGTGAATCTTCATCTATGTAAAAATGTTCTGCAGCCTTGACAGCCTGTCTTTCCATGTCAAGTAAACTTTGCAAGTTTGCTATTTGACAGCGGGATATTCTCTCTTGGAAGGTGGTAGACTCTCCTTCCTTGGAGAGGTTGGATGGCCATTTGTTATGGATGCTTTAGCTGAGATACCACACTGCTTTTTCTCTCCACCATTCATATTTGTTGCTTCAAAGTAGTCATGGCCCACAACCTTACTTTCATGCCTTTGTCCTCCTCTATCCATTCCCCATTCTATCTTTCAATTTTTCTCACCCCCTCTTCCCAAACCTGATTTACACTACAGAAGCCTTCCTTCCTTCCTTCCTTCCCTCCTTCCTTCCCCTCCTGCACTTCCTCCCTCATGAGCCCAGGGAATCAGCATCGTTCTTCCCATTCCCTTCTTTGCTTCTGAGAAGAGCAAATGGATATGAAATTGCAGCCAACTGAGATCAGAACGGTCTGGCACCCTAACCCCCCCCCGTCACCCGCTGGGAACCAACCTCCAGCTGATCTGGTTTGCTTTAGGGTGGCGCCTTCCAGAATAGGATGAAAGAGATAAAAAGGATTCCCTTTCCCACCTTGCTTTCCTTTCTTCTACACACATGAACAGAGCACCTAGCAGCTTAAAAGAGGCCCATTGACCCTCTAATATGCTATTTACATGGAGAACTAGGCAATATCAGGATGACTAACTGGCCATACAGAAATGTTTGGGTTGATCTTATGAAGTGGCATGCTATCCTTTGCCAGGGAGATATCATACCATCCAACACGATGCTGCCCAAATCAGAGACATCATCTACCTTGTCTCAAATCCTGCACGATTCACGTGGGTCAGAAAAAGCTTCTTTTGGGCACGGTGCCCCAAAATACATATTTTGTGGTGCCTCACAAGATCACACACCCGAGGAAAAAAAAAAAGAAAGCTTTTTCGGGGTTAGATCTCAGCCCAAAATCGCAAGGCAGCAAGGTGCCCCAAATGACTGTCATGTTCTTGTGGGGGAAAATTGGATGTTCCAGGTTTTCCAGGACAGTTGACGAGTATGAGATATCAGAGTAATAAGATGAGCCCTGCTGGACCAGACCAAAAGCCCACCTAATTCAGCATCTTGTTCTCACAATAGCCAACCAGATCAAAGAACCATAGAATCGCAGAGTTGGAAGGGATCTCGTGGGTCATCTACTCCAACCCCATGCAATCCAGGAATCTTTTGCCCCACATGGGTCTTGAACCCACAACCCTGAGATTACGAGCCTTGTGTTCTGCTGACTGAGCTATATCTCCTGTTTCAATGCCTCTGGGAAACCCACAAGTAGGACATGAGTGCCAACTTCCCTGTGATCTACAGTGATGACCAGCCAGAGACACACTGCCTCTAATATTAAGAACACAGGAAGAGCCTGGTGGTCAGTGGTCCATCTGGTTCTGCATCCTTTTCTTACAGTAGCCTACTAGATGCCTGTGGAGTTATGAGAATCACAGGTGCTTGGAATCACCCACGAAAGTATCTGGACATTGGCATTTAAACACACACAGAATTCGGCTTGCGTTATTTTTAGCAGGAAACTTGGTTCAATTAAAGGTAGCCGACTCATTTACTCTAATTGTTCTGCATGTCAGCAATGAGGATGATGGTGGTTTTTTGGGTTTTTTAAGGGGGTAGGTTTCTTGCAGTATCCTACAGCACAGGATGGCAGCTGGCCTCATGAATATTGCATGCCTTGTCCTCGGTTGGCTCTCATTGCAAAAGCAAGGTTGTGTCCTCCTCACGAGGAGCAAGACTGAAGGATGAGATCATACAAAATAAAAAAAATCCTTCCAGTAGCACCTTAGAGGCCAACTAAGTTTGTTATTGGTATGAGCTTTCATGTGCATGCACACTTCTTCAGATAAGTATACGTATCTGAAGAAGTGTGCATGCACATGAAAGCTCATACCAGTAACTAACTTAGTTGGTCTCTAAGGTGCTACTGGAAGGATTTTTTTTATTTTGTTTCAACTACGTCAGACCAACACTAGAACTATGGATGATATCATAGGCAGGACTGATTTATCCAGGGGAAGAAGGTGGTAGAGTCTTGAAGTGGCAGTAGACCAGGCATAGGTAAACTCGGCCCTCCAGATGTTTTGGGACTACAACTCCTATCATCCCTGACCACTGGTCTTTTTCGCTTGGGATGATAGGAGTTGTAGTCCCAAAACATCTGGAGGGCCGAGTTTGCCTATGCCTGTAGTAGACTACCATTCCGCACTGTAGGTGGGGGGAGGGGAATGCTGCATGCGATGATTGTATTTCTTTTTGCTGTATAATTTTGTTAATTAAAAATTTCAAACGTTTTCACAATTTTCTTCATAGCAAATAATTGCATGGTTTCATAAGTTGACTTCCCACTCTCACCTCCAAAGTGTTTTTACACGAACCCTTTCTACTGCCTTGTATCTTTATATCTTTATGCATTACAAAAAGTTTCTCTACTACAATTATTTTATCATTTTTCTTCTACAAAAAAGTTCATCATTTTGATCTCTTAATTTTGTCGTCAGTTTTGCCATTTCTTCATAGTCAAAAGTAACTTTTCCTTGATTGGAACCTTCTCCTCTTTCCATTTCTGTGCACATAATATTAGATGATTGTAATTTTTATGAAAGTGTGGTGTGTGAGTGTGTGTGTGTGTGTGTGTGTGTATAAATGCCTCATTCACAGGCAAGAGATATGGAAGGAATCCACAGCTCAGTAGCAGAGCAAGTTCTCTGTACATACCAGATCCAACATCTAATCGCTGGCACCCCCAGTAGAAAGGAATAAGAAAGACTATCTGAGACAGCCCTGGAGAGATGGGACCTGCCTCATGCCCGAGGTATGAAAGGGACCCATAGCTCACTGTAAGAGCATCTGCTTTGCATACAAAAGCTCCCAGGTTCAATCCCTGGTGTCTTTAAGTAGGCCTGGGAGAGACTGGGAGCTGCTGCCAGTCAGGACCAACTTTACTGGGCTAGATGAAGCAATATCCTGACTTGGGAAAAGGCAGCTTCATGTGCTCCTATGCTGCCTGTCAGAGGATACACAATCCTGGCTGAGAAGGGTAAATAAACTGACATTCAAGGAAGCACCTTCATTTTGGGCTAAGACCCTAGCTGAGAAGTAGAACACTTTTAAAATCTCCCTCTCTCCCTCTCTCTCTCTCTCTCTCTCACACACGCGCGCACGCGCACACAAACACACACACACACACAGACACAGAGAGAGAGGTCTTCATGAAAATCCATGAGCACTTTAGTTCAAAATGTAAATTCACATTTTTGTATGCACTTTTTTCTAATATACAGAATTTTGCAAAGCAATTTCCCCTACCATAAAGCATATTTGTTATTTTCACCAATGCGGTTTATATATATATAGAGAGAGAGAGAGAGAGAGAGAAGTAACACTTTACACTAGTATCTTCATTTTAGAAGAGAGTCCTTAGCTGGAGAACTGCATTTCAAAATCTAGAGAAGGGAAGATTTTCTTTCTTTCTTTCTTTCTTTCTTTCTTTCTTTCTTTCTTTCTTTCTTGAGCTTGCCTTCTTTTATTGACTCACTTACTTTCTTTTCTGAAATATAGAATTATAACAATACAAAATAAATATCCATACTTCCCACTTTCCCCTCCATGTGTCCTATTGCCAACCTTTCCAACTGCATATTATTCAACAATCCATATTTTATGTCTCTCCATTTTGTCCATGATATTTGCTACGTGACAAGTGTTATTGCAATCCTGCTAACGTTTTCATCTGCTTACAGTGGTCTCCCAGGCAAATTATAAATTCCCCCCCATTCTTTATTGGCCTTATTGCTTCCTGAGAAGGGCAGATTTCTAAGGATGCCTGCATTTCGCTTCCTGTGTTGTCCTGGAAGGTGCAAGCTAAGCAGGTTCGCCTTTAAAATGCAGACGGAATCGACTTGCTCCCCCGTCCCTCGTGGGAAGTGAGCCTCATGCTAGCCGCCTCCTCAGACTCCCACATCGATTCCCCCAGGAGAGCAGAACTGATGTGCGGGGAGATGGGGGGGGGGAACAAGTAAGATGTCACCTGCCAACGGGCTTCCTGAGTACTGGCGAGGGCACACGCCCTGGGTGGCAACAGCCGCATGGCTGGCTGATTTGTTCTGCTTAATCTCCTCATAAATCTTCAGTCATATGGAAGCGGCAGTGTAGTCTGGATAATCAGCCTGATGATAAAGTGGAGGAGGTGGGAGTGTCATTGTTAGGTGTGCGTGCGCAGAGAGGATGCCCTCTTTTGTTTGATGTGATTATTAAGCCAGGCGAGGGCTCCTGCTTCCTCGACAGGGAGGCATCAAATTATTTTGCTGCATGAGCTGAGAAAGTAACACTTAATAAAGCAGGGACAAAAGACATAGCATGATGATTCTGCTCACAGGCTTCTTGGCGGGGAATCAGCAGTGGTGATACATGGTAGTCCCGTCATGTTTGACGGCAGGATATTTGCCCAGATTAACTGATCATCAGAAGGTGCCAGGATGGGTTACAAAAATGAGATGTGCAATTATAAAACAGGCACACAACTCTGAAATGTTCAAAATCATAAGAGGGAAGTCATAGTATGGCTCTATTCTGCCTTGGTCAGACTGTCAGGAGTTCAGCCTACACTTGAGTAGGACCCTGGCAGAGACACATGCCCGACTGGCATGTTCTCTCCTTCCTGGTTGATCGTTCTGGAACTTCAAAAGCTTTCTTCAGCCCAAACATCACAGCGACCGATGCCAACCGACACGGGCACACTTAGGGATCTGCAGAGTTTGCACAGTTGCATAACAGACCTCAGCAACACAGCATTTTGGCTAATCTACTCTATTTACATATAAACACACATGGAGCACTGCAACATGGCTCCCTCTGTCTCTAGCATCAGACAGCAAAGTGAAAAAGAACAAAGGACAAAAGTCCCACTTCACGGAACACAGTAACGCAAACATCCTGTCTCTGTCACTTCCCACTCTGTGGAGTCAAAACATGTGAAAGACAAAAATCCTATGACTGCAATAATGGAGCAGGAATTCTAACACAGACCACACCTGGAGCCCTGTGTTCAGCTCTGGACACCACAGTTTGAGAAGGGTATTGGCAAGCTGGAAGGTGTGCAGAGTACGGTGAGCTAGATGATCAGGGGTCTGTAAACCAAGCCTTATGAGGAATGGTTGAGGCAGCATCAAGATGGCTGCCAACCTCTGAGGCAAGATGAGGCAGCTGCTCTCACCGTTTCACTATTTTGTTGTTTTATTCTTTTACTTCCTTGTTATCTCACCGGTGTCATGCATTTGCACTATCTGCAACTTACCAGATGAGAAAACCCAGCTGAGAAACTGTCGAGAAAACTGCTGGAATAGGAGAAGCGCTGCGATAAACATTGGGTGAGTCAGTGTTTTACTTTTAAGGTGAGGAGGAAATGAAACGAAAGGATTAACCCTGCTCCACTTTACTGGGCTAGATGGAGCAATATCCTGGCTCCCAGGTTCAATCCCTGGTGTCTCTAAGTAGAGCTGGGAGAGACTGGGAGCTGCTGCCAGTCAGGGTCAAATTTACTGGACTAGATGGAGCAATATCCTGACTTGGGGAAAGGCATCTTCATGTGCTCCTATGCTGCCTGTCAGAGGATAGACAATCCTGGCTGAGAAGGGCCAATAAACTGACATTCAAGGAAGCACTCTTTCTGGGACTCTGCACAAGCTTAAGGCTTGAGGTTTTGCTCCATTCTCTCCCTGAGTGGTTGACTGATGAAATATACTCGGAGTTGAGAGTAGATTTCATGCTCTTTATTCAGCTTATAGTGGTGAGGAGGAATGGACGTTCCCCCAGAATGTCTGCGTTATATACATTATTTACACAATGGGCCCCACGTGATTGGCTAATTCCAAGATTCACCTGTAGGCCAATCAGGTTGTGGCTTCACTTTCACCTGGAGCTGGATTGGGTGACTCCTGTGGACCAATCAGACTGCTGCCTTTTGGATCCTATTAAACTCAGTACATAACACCCAATATGGTGTACACAAGGAAGGCATATAAAGCCCTGGGAATTATGCCAAACTTTACAAGTAGCTCTCCTGAACCTCGGAGAAGACAAAGTAAATTCACAGTTTTTCCTTCAGGAGAGTAAAAAAGTGTCGAGCAAGCTGATACAAGATGAAGTATCCCCTATGCTTCCTGCTTTGGAATGGTCAATGAATCTTAAAGGGGACATGCAAGAACCTAGGAATACAAGTCCTTCAGTAAATTTGGCCCTAGAATTGTCCTTAGCAGACGATATAAACAAGGCCAATTTGAGAAATAAATTGGCACAAACCGATGAGCTTATACAGTGGCAGTCTTTTCAGCTCAGTAAAAGCCCAGCTAGACAACACGCCATTACTACTACTACTACAATTTTATTTATATCCCGCCCTCCCCAGCCGAAGCCAGGCTCAGAGCAGCTAACAACAGTAAAAGTAAACACAGCATTCTAAAATCAATTCATTCTAAAATCAATTCAGAATCAGATTAATGGCAAACATTGGGCTAGAGTTCTGTGAGGATTACCAGAGGAGGGGGTCAGATTGTGCCCTGGCCAAAGGCCTGGTAGAACAGCTCTGTTGCAGGCCCCGCGGAAAGATGTCAAGTCCTGCAGGGCCCTAGTCTCTTGTGACAGAGCGTTCCACCAGATTGGAGCCACAGCCAAAAAAGCTCTGGCTCTGGTTGAGGTCAGCCTAACCTCCCTGTGGCCCGGGACCTCCAAGATGTTTTTGTTTGAAGACCGTAAGGCTTCAAATGCACACAAACAGAGGAGAGAGACACTGAACTCCAGGATCAGCTTCGTATGGTTTGCTCAGAATTAACCCTCATCAAAAACTTCCTTATAGTAAGCAATGGGCTGCTTACAACATTAGTGGGAAATTTTACAATTCAAGAGGGAGCTTTCAGGTCAAAAGATACTGAAAGGATATCTAGACAAACCCAGCTGGTAATCGCTGAAATGACAAAGGCAAATGCTAAAGAAGTTACCCAAAGACTATCTAAGAAAAAAATCTAAAGTGTTGAAGAAAAGTAAAAATATTAAAAACTTAAAGAAGTAGAAGAAAACTCATTGTGGATGTAAAAATCAATTGCAGAAGCTTTACAGGTTGATAGCAACAGATTCTACTCTGGACACAAATAAGCCTACCTCAAAAGTACATAGCGAAAAAGGGGAGCAGGAAGAAGACAGCAGCAAATGTCGCTAAACCACAGCAAAAGCTAGAGAAGGAAAACCCAACAGAGGAAAATAAAACAGATGCCTCAGTTGAGGTTGCAGCTCTGACTCCAGGAGGGAATGCACCTGAGAACAAGGGAAACAGAGAGGATATTATCCACAAAATTGAACTTGGCCCAATAACCGATTACCCAGAGGACCAACGTGACTTTCATCAGGAAAAAGAGTGGAATTTGGTGGTGAAAACTAGTTATCGCAAATTATCCCAAGACTTGTTGAAAGGTGATGGTTTTCAGTACAGGGACAGTGTCTGGCTAAAATGTAATGGCATGGAGCTCTAAAGGGCTGGGGCCACCACACTAAAGACCCACTGTCAATAATAATAATAATAATAATAATAATAATAATAATAATAATTTATTTATACCCTGCCCATCTGGCTGAGTTTCCCCAGCCACTCTGGGCAGCTCCCAATCAAATGTTAAAAACAGTACAGCATTAAATATTAAAAACTTCCCTGAACAGGACTGCCTTCAGATGTCTTTTAAAGATAGGATAGCTGCTTATTTCCTTCACATCTGAAGGGAGGGCGTTCCACAGGGCAGGTGCCACTACCGAGAAGGCCCTCTGTCTGGTTCCCTGTAACCTCACTTCTTGCAATGAGGGAACCTCCAGAAGGCCCTCGGCGCTGGATCTCAGTGTCCAGGCTGAACA